CTGAATTACCGGTCGTAATGTTTCGCACGGGCTTCAGGAGAACCCTTTAAAATCTCGTGGGAAGGGAACAATGTGAGAGGTTAAAGGTGTGAATTAGGATGCGAAGTTCTATGTAAAATGCACCTTTGGCGCTACCAGGATTATATAGTTGGATAAGAAGCAGATGCTGGTTAGAAAGAGCTTCGTGAAGTGAACTGTGCATTAACCTCGGTAGATGTTAGCAAAACAACAGCACACCTGGTTGCTCACTGGAAGCAGATCCACCAGCAAGATGCGGGCTTTGAGCCGAAAATTCCCAATCCAGTTTGACCTGTGACCGGTGTAGTTTTGCTTACAGATATGTGAGACGGATAATAAGAAATAGGGTTGGACACAGTTAGTTCGATAGCCGCGTTAGTTAGAAAATCAATTTTCCAGGACGTATTACATGTCAAACAGTTATTGTATCCAATGCGCAACGAGACTGGATCTTAACGTGGTGCGATGGTTTGCGTACCTCAGTGATCTATTGAGCTTTCAGAGCCACTCATAAAAGACTGGTCAATGGTTAGAGGCCGCACAAACTCAGTTACCTGGGGTTGAAGTGAGGGTGGCTCTTTACTCCATAAAACGGGCTCTCTGTAGTACAGTGCCAAAACCAAAGGCTTTAGCTCCTGTCTAGGCCTAGGCAAAATGACAGTATTCTGCCCACGCAATACATCCTGACCTTCCCTTCTAACAATCTTGTTGCTCTGGCCATCGCAGAAGATAATAAACCGCGCCCTATCTGCTGCATCGAGCAGCGCCCCGTTCCAAATGCACTTTCATCCCCCCGTTTTCAATCTCCAAATTCTTGACCCTCCTCCAACCTGCTATGATGGGCGTTTATCATCCAGTTTCAATTCACATGCAAACGCGGAATGTCACTCTTGCCCTACCGACAAGTCCATGTCTAACCAAACGATCAAACCCAGTTCATCGACTTCTATACGGAACCTCTGATCCTCCCTCAGATTGGCATGCCTCTATGTACGCACATTGTTACAGATCGGTCAACAGGTAGCACTTACCCGAACATTATAGACTCTTTCGATCGAATATCTGCTGCTTATCTGAGACCCGCCTGAAAGATTCAAATCCCGTGTTCGCTTTGCGATGACCTTCAGGCGATAGCAGCAGTACTTTCTTATAGCGCCTATCCAGAGACGATGCAGCTTCGAGCACCGGCCAAACGGGTGTTGGTATTGCTCTGAGTTCCCGGGATGAAGCTGATCTGGTTGATTGGATACCAATCTAGCCGGATGTGAGCGGTCCGACTGACTGGCTCCTTCAAAGCTTCGAAGTCGCGCGGAACTAACAAGTGTCTATTCGTCATCGCTGCCTATGCACCCACAAACAGCGATGATTCGGTAAAAGACGACTTCTATTGCAAATGGAACGAGCTCCTTCGCGACAGAAGAAACACGGGCACTGTAGTGCTGGCGGGGGATCTGAACGCTCAAGTTGGGAAATTGTTCATCGATGAGCTGCATCTGGGTGTTCAACATGGTGTGGGCATGCGTAATGATAAGTTTGAGTGGGCACTTCATTTGTGTGGAGATGCTCGTTTATTTCGCGCGAGCATTAACTTCCGACACAGTATCCGTCGGAAGATGACATGGCATCCATCAGCCTCGAAGTAGCCATGGACGTAAATCGATCACATCGCGATCAGTTATCGCTGGACAGGCTGCGTCCAAAATTGTCGCTCGATTTGGAGCACATATGTGGACACTGACTATACACTTGTATGTGCTGATCTGCGGGTGCGTCTACGCAGTAGCCCTCGACGACCCTGTGAGCGCATAGACACCAGCCAACCGGCAAAGCCAGGTGTTCTGAATGCGTATCGAATTACGTTGGCGTTTGGGTTGAGCAAGCGCTCACTAAATACAGAAGGTCATTGGTTGCATGTTCACTATACCTCACTAGAAGCAAGTAAATCCACCAGCCAACAGAGACATTGGGTCTCGTCGCAGCTTCTGGAAGTTATCGATGTTCGCGGGCACATTCCGGCGAGGAGCGAAAACAACGAGACTCGCTAAAACACCAAGGCAAAACTAAGTGCTAGCCTAAAGAGAGACCGCAAATGCTGATAGTCTCATCGTGCGTCAGATGGAAGTGGCCGCTGCTCTTGTCAACTATCGAAAGTTATTCCGAATGATAGGAGAAACGAGTAGCAGGAGACTTGGTGTTGGTAAAACTAGACCTGACGAGTGGATAGCTGATTCACAACTTGTTAAAACGTTTGAAGCGTTAAGCTGAGCATTCTGAAAAGCAATTTAATCCACCGGAATTGTTAGATTCCTCACCGGCCAGTGATCGCCTGCTCCTTGGGCTGTCCCTTTGAATCCACTCTCTCGCTCAGAAGTCGAATGTGCGACCGCACTGCTGAAGTCGAATAAAGCCGCGAGACCAGATGATGTTCATCTAGCTCTCTTCAAATTCGGAGGCCCTGCTTTGGTTGATGATTTACACGAGTTACTAGTAAAACTGTGGGAGCAGGAAACTGTCCCAACTGACTACATCGGCTGCGTCAGTGTCCCGATCTTTAAAGGAGGCTGGCGATCGGAATGCGGCAACGATAAAGGAATCAGTCTGATCCCCATCGCCTCCAAATAGCTTGCCTCTGTTATCTTTCACAGACTGAAGGGCAACCTGGTAAGCCAGATTTGAGGAGCAAGCTAGGTTTCGTCGTGCTCGGGGATGCATCAACCACATTTTCAGATAACATCACCTGTGTGAGAGCCGTCACATCTACTGGCGGCCCAATGTTGTCGTGGAACATGACATCAAGGGTGTCTTCGATTCAGTGGATCGACGTGCCCTTGGGACTGTCTGATAAGGAAACATGTACCCGAGAAGTACGTAAACATAATACGGGCGTTATACGAGGGTGGCTTGGGCAGAGTGAGGGTTAAGGGCAAAATGCAGCCTCTCTCCAATATTTCCGGCGGCGTGAGACAAAGATGCCCACTGTCACTTTTCCTCTTCAACTTCGATATTGACGAAGTCATGGAAATCGCGTGCACAGGACACGAATTAGGAGGAGTGGAGCTGCTATCAGGTGAAGGACTTCTTGACTTGGAGTGTGCTGACAATATTGTCCTCATCGGTGACAGCTCACAAAAGTGCCAAGCTGCACTGGACAGAATAACACTGGCTGTCTGTCACTTCGGGTTATGCTTTGCACCTACGAAATGCAAAGCATTCCTCCAAGATTGGCCTGAACCACCTCCCGTGCTGACGCTTAAGGGGAGCAGCTAAAAGTCGTTCGAAAATTCAACTACCTGGGTAGTTGTATCAGCGGTCGTGGGATTGCAGATGAGTTCACGAACCGTAAAGCAAAGGCAGGAGGCGCTTTTGCTAACCTTAGCTACCTATGACACCGGCGCGACATCACTCTCTCCTTGAATGGTACAGTGTACAATGCAGCCGTATGTTCGACCCTACTGTACGGTTGGGTAACCTGGCTCCCTAGATCAGCAGACATGAAGAGGCCAGTTGCGTTCGACCATCTCTGCCTTCGCAGTTTGGCTCATATCTGGTGGGAACACCGTGTGAGCAATGAGCGAGTTCAACGCGTTTATGACACAGGAAGAAGGAACGAACCGCTCAGCCCCGTTATTTCACGCACAAGGCTCCGATGGCTGGGCCACGTGTTGCGCATGCCAGCCCATCAACTTCCGCGACGTAGATTGTGTGCGCCTGGGATGTGGATGAAAGAAGAGAAGAGGTAGTCAAACGAGGACTTGGTCAAGAGGAAGAAGGCCCTTACCCAAAGTTGACCTCGGTTGGAGCCTCTCGGTTCCCTTGTTGAGGACGAAAGTATGATGAACACGTTTGGTTGGATATACTAGTTGACATGGATGGGAGTAGACCTCAATGGCGTGTGCGTTGGGAGTTCTTTTGTCCATCACCCTCCTGCTTAGCCTCCTCCTACAAACATGATCTCATAATATGACCTTCTGTGGTACAATATTCGGCTGCTAGCTCTCCGGAACGAAGTCCATCCGTTAGTGGTGACTTAGCCGGCGTGCCTCCGTTTCATGTTTTGCTCTTCTTTTGTATTGAGGCGCCATAACTGAGGCGTTTTCCACCTGCAGCTAGCATGTATAATGATGATGATGGTGGTGGTCATGTGGCGTACTGCTGACGCCATTCTTTTCTTTCTCCAAATTTGCTTGGTTAGAGAACACACAGGACATGAATCGCGACCGAGACCAATGCCATGTATATAAGCATACCCTGGGCCGAAACGCCTGGTTACGGATGGATTGAATCTGTGAAGTAAGGAAGATTGTGGTGAATAAAATAAAAAATCGCCAGCTGCACGCCGGAACGGCGCTTCGCTGCCACGCGACCACCACCAGTCGCGCGTGGGCTGAGTATACCGCGAGGACACTCGCCCGTATGGGGATTCGAACCGGTGATCTTATGGTTGCAAACCAGAAGCGCAGACCACTCGGCCACCGGCAGAGCGGTGGAAGCCACAAGGAAGATAGTTCGCCAATCGTATCAGTTCTTCACACGATAGCTGGTGGCAGTGAGCATTTACCAAGGTATAGATGTGTCAGCCCTGGATGTTTATCTGGGCATTTAGGCGTTAAATGAAGAAATAAAATAAATAACGTTTTATTCTCGACGATGCAACACACGCCTATACCGGCATGTTTGGGTGTGTGCATACTTTATAGAATGATGATCAGGAAAATCCCATATCAGGTTCTACTTCTGCTCACACAGCAGTGTGGTCACAATGATTCTATGGTAGCGAAGAAGAATCGGTGCCGCCAAGGATGATGATGAACAATGACAGTTCGATTAATACCCAAAGAGGTACATGGATAAGAAGTGATCAACAAATACGGAAGTTAGCAGTCAACTAAAGTAGTTATTGCGATGCGGTGACCGTAAACGAGTGCAGCGGGTTCGTATTTGCCAGGAGCAACAGATGATAATTGTAAACAAAGCAACCTTACACGGTTCATGGTGTCCTGTAGACGGGGTAATGGGAGGCTAGGCAGAGAGTACTGATAACCATAGAGTCTCGGATGCTTTGATTTGGCCAAACTGAGCAGCATCTAAAATCAGAAGTAAAGCACCACGAAATAATCAAATGATGATTTTATGGATGAAAACCAATGAGACAGAAAGTGATGTGACAATTAAGAGAGCAGGAACACAAAAGAAAAAGGATAAGACAAAGCTACACAGATATTCGCGGAAAACAAATCTAGCTCTATCTGGTAGGCAGGTTTGGAGTCATTAGTCGCTCGGAGACACACGGATTTTCATAAGTGTGCAAATACGGCGAGCAACATTAGATCTGTTGTCGGGACATAGTTGGTGCCAAGTGGTTACCATGCGGACCACAGCGGATAATATTGGCCTCCTGGTTGCCGTGTGCTACACAGCGTGGACAGCACAGTAAAATTCGGTGAGTTCACAAAATAAACTGTTTTGTATGTTGCAGTTGCATGGGTCCAAGAATTGGTTTTGTGTTTTCAGCAGTACAAGTGCAGTGGTGGTCGCGAAGAAACCTCAAAACCAGATGCGTCCGTGACAATTGCATGCTCAACGTATGATTTGATGAGTCGAGTTGGTCCGAGTATGTGTCGCTAGTGCTTAAACAGGCAATCCTAGTGAGCTGAAAACGAGTTAACTAGAACGACTAAATCAGGATAAAATGGAAGATCACGAAAGCTCTGCAGGCAACCCTAGATAAGGGCGGATGTGTTGAAATACTAATACATTATGTGCCAGTTTGTATCGCATCGTGGAAACAATACAAAGTTATACAAATGCGAGTTGCAATCTAAGCATCACAAACCCAAGAACTGAAAATTAGTTACAAGATTATTCCGAGATATTGTCCCAGGCGATTCATGAAATAGTCCTAGTTTGGGTGAAAATGTGTACGAATTTTCGTTGGATGCAAAACAAGCGAACAAATGTAGTCGCTGAAGTTAACCAGTCACCACTATGAAATCTCGTCCATCATCATCATTGTCAGCATCATCATCATCATCAGCAGCAGCAGCAGCAGCGTCATCATCATCATCGTCATCATCATACTGTTGCTAAGCAATTCAAAGTACAGATTTCAGCTGCACCACCGCCACAGGGTAGTTAGCTTGAGGTCCCCCATGCAGGAAATAGCAAGCGTGAGAATGACCAAGCGTTACACTCATTTTATTTATGCCTTCTTATCAAGCCATTGCCTAGCCACAGAACGAACACCAGATGAGCAGTAACTGGAAAAGTGCCCCCTTATCTGGAGCAGTGTATCTGAAGTATATAAAGACCAAATGAAGAGTCAATAAAGTTGTTGGCCAAAAGACCTAAAGGAGTACAACAGCAGCACTCACTAATTCGTCTGTTGGATATGAATACGCAACCTCTTGATAGCATCAATGCACAGTGGCCACTCAACTGACACACATTAGAACAATAAGTGGAATGCCTGCGATGAATCAACTGGTGCCACACCCTCTACAGTTGATTCAGACTCGGAAAACCTATACAAGTTTTGCCGACAAGCACAAGAACTACTTTGGTGTAGTGAAAGCGGAAGCAACGCAGCTAGCAGAACAAACAAATCGTTCAATCATCTAGGTTATTCTAAAAGTGTTGTAAAGAACCAGAAGTATGAATGGGTCAAGGCAACTGGATCTGCTTCACGGAGATGCACGGATTCTGGAACAAAGTAATTCGAAACACATGGTGAGACACGCAATATTTTGCACCAGAGTAGCTAATAATCATAAAACCTAGATTCTGTAGAATATCACAAGTTTATCGGCCAGTCAACCGGTAGAACTACAACATCGAAAAATGAGACGAATTCATGCCCAACCTTTAAGGAAACGAAGTTGAAGGAATCTGGTGAAATGCGATAGGCCATACGTATCCAAATTATCATTAGTATACTTAGTGGAAGAATTTCCTTTTGACTTATAAATGGAACTATGAGCCAAGAAAGGTAGTTCGAAAGGCATCAGCACTACGCCGGTAAGTAATACCGACGCTCCGCTGCTGCGCAACCACCAGCAGTCGCGCGTGGACTAAAGATAATGAGGACGTCGCCCGGTACCCTACACAGGCTTGAACACGCAACCTCAGAGTACAATGAACGCTTGTTGAGTACAAATGTTTAATTGATCAACTATGGAACGAGCACCGAAGTGCAGTGAATCCAGTTGCCATGACCCACATCGCAAGAATAACACTAAATAAAACGGGCAAGATAATAAGATGTAAAGAAGATGGAAATGAGAATGAAGTGCGCTAAACCAATCAGAATGGAACGAAAATCAACAGACAGATGCAAGAAACCGAATGTAAGAAAACCCCTGACTGTGTGACTGCACGATGTCTGACACGGTCTCCAATCATTATTGTGAACTATCCCGAGACACCTAACCACGATGATGACACGCACCCTCCTGACCAAGTCTCTCGGTCAATTTCTTCATTCCACCTCGCGGTGCAGCCACGGCGTATATTGCATGCCGAGGAAGCCGATCAACGGACATACAGGGGATATGGTCTACCTAACATAAGCGATTAAACTTCAGCAAATACTCGAGAGAGGCACCAGAAGGGTTCTTGTCAAAAACCAACTGGTGAACTGCAGCATTGCTCATCCGGTATTCCTACCAGACGTGAGCAATGCTCCACAAGCACCGGTGGTCAAACATGATCATGCGTCTAATGTGTTCGCCGCGAATTGGACAGGTCTCTGGTCCTTACAGTAAGACCGGCTTTATCGCAGCGTTATGTACATCACCTTTCACTGACCAGATGATATGCCGCCGTCTCCAAAGATGGTTGAGCCTTTGGAAAGCCATACAGGTCTTGCTGATACGGGAGGTAACTTCCTTACTGATGTGACCAGCAGAGGTGACACAGCTACTAAGGTAAGCGAACCGATCCACTACTTACAGTGACCATTCGCTGATAGATAAAACTGGAGGTGTGTCGGTGCAGTCCTGCAGCAATACTTTGCATTTTGAAAGTGAAAAGCACATGCCGAAGCGTGCGGCGTCAGGCGAAAGTCTATCCAATAGTGTTTGCACAGCCACTGCATCGGACGCATGTCGTCCGCATACTCCAGGTTTGCCAGTCGGTCACCTGGTAGAACTTCCACTCCGGTAGAGCCTGAATGAACGGAATCACCCATGATCATTTCGATCATAAAGTTGAAGAGGAAAGGAGATATAGGACAAGGCTAGCGAACCCCATTAATCGTATGGAACTCAGAAGACAATTTCCCGTAGACAATTACACGAAGTCGGGACTCACAGTAAAGAGACTTAAGAATGGAAAAGAATTTAGCCGGCACGCTCTTCAAAGATAGACAGTGCCACAAGCTGGCGCGGTCAACAGAGTCGAAGGCAGCTTTCAAGTCAAAGAAATCAACCATTGTCAGTCGTCTGTATGGGTGTCTCTGTTCCAACACTTGGTGAAGAGTAAATATGTGGTCGATACAACCCCGACCACGGCGGCGACTAGCCTGGCTTCCAGTGATTCCATTATTACGGGGACCAGTAAGTCGTCGAAGGATGATACCCATAAGTTTAGAAGCAATGGAAATAAGGTTAATGCTTCGATGATTTTCGCACAAAGTACGCTGACCCTTCTTGAAGATGCGAAAGACAGTTGACACACCGTTCCAAATCGTGTTAAATAGAGTAGTGAGTCCAGTCAACAAAAGGGCACCAGTTTCTTTCAGCAAAGATGGAGGAAGGTCGTCGGGTTCAAGAGCTTTGTTTCGTTTCCACATGGAAACCTCATGTCGAATCTATTACACATTGGGAAGTGTCACATATGCTTCCCACGACGGTTCAAGCGATTCGGCAAACGACAATGTCGCTCAGACCTTCTTAACTGCTCCACAAAATGTTCCACCCGACGGGCTAGTCTATGACGCTGCCAATGGATCAGCTGCCCATTTTTCTCGGCTATTGTCTCGCTAACTGACGCCTTTCTCGGACTCGTGTTCCGAATGAGCTGGAACAGAACTCGGCTGTACCCAATAGCACCGGCTTTCTCCACCTCACGGGCCCTTGCGATCCACCCACGTTTCCGGTCGATTCGAAAACTCCTTGCGATGCGTCGTTTCAGAGAGCTAGAGGCACGCTGAAACTGTGCCCATCGGAGCCTGTTTCCGTGCTTCGGTCAAGCTATTCGATGTCTCAGAGATCCATTCGCATTTACGACGTCTCAAATTGGGTGCATAGCATGCGTAAAAGGTATTCTTCATGATATATTTGAGACGATTACAGTCAGCATCCGATTCATCAACCTCATTCATCACTGACAATTGGTAGGTTAGTTCGTCATGATATTGTTAAACTGCAGATTGCGAGCTCGTAACAGGTAAAAAGGGGAGAAGATAGGTACCTCTTTGAAGCGGGAAGAGTGAGCGCCAAGCGTGCGCGTACCAGAGCATGGTTGGAATCCAGGCATGTGCCCCAAGTTGATCGACGGTCTTGGACTGATGTGCGCCATCTGCAGCTGGTGACATTATGGTCAATTTGGCTCCAGGTCATGGAGGGATTTGGTGAGCGCCAGGTGACGCTGTGTGCTGGAAACCAATGCTGTTGACGTAAAGGTTGTGGTCGGCGCATAGTTGCGGGAATCGATCACCGTTGTAGGTTCGGCGTGCACAGATCCCAAAGCGGCCTCCCAGGTGCAGTTCAGAGTCTGAAAGACGATGCACTTGTGCATTCATGTCACCAACAACAATTAGGATGTCGGTATGCTTTGCCATGTGAAGAAGAGATGAGAGCCGTCGATAGAAATCGTCTCTGAACTGCATTCAGTAGGGGCATAAACTGTGGCGATGAAAAGGCACCTTGGCTTCAGATGCTGCTTAGTAATTCTAATAGCAGTTCAAAGTTGAATCGCGCACATGCGGCTGTTTACCAGTATCCAGTCAAGCAGATTGCCTTCAGCGTATTTACTGAGGACGATACAAACACCGTAAATACCTTGAGTCATTAACACGGTATCGCCAGAGACGCGAATAATGTAGTCACGATCGTCAGATTCAGAAACACGGAGTAAAAGATTTGTCACAACGCTGTCATCGTGTAGGTGTGTTTTGGACACAGCGCACACCAATAAAAAGATAGAGTGAAGATTAAGAGTCAGTGTTACCTGCTGGCTGATATGACCCAAAGTTTGGACGTTAAAGTAACCAATGTGAAAGGAAACTTTGGATTTCATGGAAAAGCTGCATGTACCGATGGCAGCAGCTGCGAAGTCAGTGGCAGTCACTTACTTAATAAAAGAAGAGAGGGAGGAGGGGAAAGAAAAACAAGTAAAATGAGTGTTGTCGACGTGGTCAAGAGAGCAGATGATACTCTCCGGCTGCCGATTCCGAGAGAGGGGTTTTGTTCGAAATGCCCTGCTTTTGACTCAACAGTCGGACGCACAAGGCAGTGGGGTACATGGATGTTGACTTGGGAGACTACACCAGAAGCGTCTGGCTGAATAGCCTGCAGTGGGAGATATGGAGGAACCTTTGAGGGACTCCGTCCGGAGCCTTTGGCTCAATAGCCTGACCCTTAAGACAGTGGGGAGAAAGTCCTGATCGAGAGTGTAATTACAGAGACCCAATGCGATCCGCTTAAAGCTTGTCACACACAGCCTTTGAAGATTTAGAACAATGCACATATGTTTTGCGACCGTACTACGTTATGCACCTGCGACCAAGGCCAGTCGCAGGTGGGAGTTGGTGGGTTTGCACCAATTTGACGAGGAACTACCTGGTTTGAGGCGAACGTAGCAAATCATTGAGTACTCTAAGGTGCTCTCCCACCGTCAGAGAAAATATGTGGCACTCGTGCTCTACGCCAATCGAGGTTTGAGCTTACAACCCGTAGACCTGTTGTTTCCCATGTCCAGATTTTAAAGGAAAAGGGCCATCGACCTCTCCGCTAAGTTTCGAAGAGGATTGGATTGTGAGACTGAGTTAGTCTGATCACTAACCACTGACCAATCTGGTATGAGTGGCTTTGAAGGCATTTAGGAAGTGCCACCCAGCATGGCTCAATGGGTCACGAGGGTACGCAAACCATCGCACCACGCTAAGGTCCAGTCTCGTAGCGATGCCAGGCTTGTAATCCTTAAAACCATGGGCCGGTGATAGTTCGAAAGATAACAACAGAAAGTATCAAACCTTGGATTTAACGGCAATCACCTGAACTGACAAATAAAACCTCTTGTGAATCGTCAGTATTGCGCATTATATCTGTACCTTGAGAGGCTATAACCCGCGACACAACAGATATGCGTCCGAGGTTGAGACCACTGGGCAAGGGAGGTCAACGGCTGCCGCCGTGAGCAAGCAACTAGCTGACACATAGTGCGTGCACTCATACTCCAAGTGCAGGCGTGGTTACAACGTGTAGAGAACATGATTATCTCTCTAAGTCATGAACTTCTTGCTGTTGAGCCGCCATTAATTAAAATCCCACTGTTCAGTATGCGCTGCAAATCAATAACTGCCCGGGCTAGGTTATAATGCTATGGGACGAAGGTATGCTAGAAACGGGTTCACGGCTTAAAGGGCCAACACAGTTCTCTGCACGTTGTAAACACACATGCTCGTGGAGAATGAGTGCATGCGCTATGTCTCAGCGAGTTGCTTGCTCATGCCGGCCGTTGTGAACCCTCCTTGTCCGATGGCCTCAACGTCGGATGTGCATGTGTCTGGCCGTGGGTTCAAATCACACAGGGACAGATGGAAATCGCATTGATGACGATTTTCAGTAGGACGAAACAGCCGTACAGTGTTTTTCTAGATGTGCACTAGCTGTCTGACTGGGTGACGAATCTCCATCGAAAAATTCGATTCAAATTCACTTTGTATACTATCTACAAATTAAACCGACTATAAACAATATTGTGAAGAAGTGAAGTAAGCATTAGTGAAACTGGTAACAGCAGCGCGCCATTACGTCATTCTGATGTGTTGCTAAGCGAACGCAAGCAGTCACACATCAGCTGGGGTGCTGTCACCGCATCCAAAGTTCAAGTCAACATAATTACGGTAGAACAAGAAGGAATGAATAGTAACAATTTTTTAATCCGAAGATGTATAAAATCCCAGAAACTGATTCAATGACAATATATAGTGGCCAGTGCTTAGTGATGAGCAACAGATGACAAGTATCCATTTGCCAACCTCTTCCGGATAGATGCGCTTTGCTAATTTATGATTGCAATCGCGGGATCTTAGACTATTTCGTGGCTTTTAATGGCGCATAAGAATCATTCGATTCAAGACACACTGGCATTCGAGATGCCTACGGTATTCAGAGACAGCATCAGGATGCGTATTCTCGAGTGGAAGAATGAAAGGATGCAACCGAAGAATTCATATGTTGGATGGCGCGATGAAAAAAGAAAGTAACCAGTTTCTTTGATGCCACATTAAGGTGACGTGATGGGAGTGAAGCAATCGGAAACGCTGTAAAAAATAAGGCAGCAGATTTCGTCTTGCGAAGTGGGGTTCATGACATTTCTTGGTTTGCCCATAGGCCAACTGTTTTAGCACACGACGTTTGCCACAACTGTTGATAGGCAAAAAGAAGCACGGATCTATTCTATGCATTAATGAGTTTACATGGACAGTCGCGAGTTGCGTACTTCGGATGCGCTCAGGTAGTCCGATGGCCAAAGCAAGCAGTAAGTACTCCGACTTTAGTCAGCTTAAGAACATGATGCCTTTACATGCAGTAACATGATAAATAATGAAACAAAAATTGTGTAAACAAGACCGTCCGTTTAACCCTCCAATACGGTTGTGAAACCTGGCCCATCAGGTCGACAGACATAAAGAGGCTCGCCACGTTCGATCATCGCTGTCTTCGCAACTTAGCACATGTCTGGTGTGAGCACCACGTGAGCAATGAGCGTGTTCGGCGGCGCGTATTTGGTGCAGGAAGAGCGAGTGAACCGCTCAGCACCATTATATCACGCACCAGGCTCCGATGGTTGGGCCACGTGTTGCGCATGCCAGCACACCGACTCCCGCGACGTGCACTGTTTACGCGCCGGGGGTGTGGTTGGAAGAAGAGGAGGGGAGGCCAAGCGATGACTTGGTCGAGAGAAATGAAAATCCTCACTTCGAAGCTAGCGTCAGTTGGCGCATCCCGACTGCCCGGCTGGGGTCCTAACGACGATGGACAAGTTTGGTTGGACACATTTGTTGATATGGTGAAGAGTCGGCCCCAATAGCGTTTGTGTTGTGAGTTCCTTTATCCACCCCCCTCCTCTTTAGAATCCCATTCCCATTCCAATCACATACAAAACGCATAACATAATATTTAAGATAATATTACTTGCTTGGAATGCTTTTATGGTGTAAATTTTTTAGTTTCATCTTTTTTTGTATTGCGGCACATTAGCTGAGGTGTGTTTCTCACCCTTAACTAACGTGCATTGATGATGATGATGTGAACAAAACTTGACAAGGTGACTGGTATGAAAACTTACCGTCCATAGAGAAATAAAAATATTTCGCTTGCCACGGTTTCTGTACATCCATCCAGTGTAGCTCAACAGCAAACGTAGAATGAGTTGATTGGTCAGAGAACCCATGAACCACAGCAAGAAAGAAAAAAGCAAACATGCCGGGACGTGGTAGTAGTCAGAAATGCCAACATATCTAAGGCAAAAGAAAAGGGAAAAAGTACCTGATTTTAGTGTGTGTGTGTGTGTGTGTGTGTGTGTGTGTGTGTGTGTGTGTGTGGTTAAGCTGTGATGAATGTCAGAAACGAAGGAAAGCTTCGAATGTGCGCATGGCACATTCGAAGGTGCCGTGTAACGAGCAAGTGATAGGCGCCAAGAATAAAAACGTGTTGCATAGAACAGAGAGCTACCCGAAGCTGAACCACTGACAGAGGAGCACAAACGAGAGAGGATACCAAAAACAGTAAACGGACAGATTCACTTCAGCTGGATGACAATGATCCAAAGACTGAGACGCGGTTGATCTAATTGTTTTGAGTTGTGTGGCAAGAACTTGAGAAACCAAAGAGATCGCGAAATAGAGAAAGATACAAAAGAAAGAAAGAAAGAAAGAAAGATACAAAGAAGTGATTGGAATAGCTGTTGAAAAGAGAGAATACTGAAATAAAGACAATGAATGCAAAAGTACCGATGACTAAGTGAGTCGGTGGTTCTCGAACACTCATGAGGAAGACGGTCCACACTAATCTGGTGTAGCCACTTTGGCTGAGTTAATGAAGCTTATTTTACTGTGGCACTGATAGGTCAGCAAGTGGCTTCATCCAAAGCTCGTGTACCGAATGCAAACAAGTGCCGAGGTAAGCGCTCGAAAGGGGAATGCCAAGGTGACCAGGCGGCTAACGAAGGTAGAGGAAAGGCGACAAATCAGGGGGTAAGAGGCGTGTTCCCCAGCCCTCCGAATAATAGTGATGTGACGCAAGCATTGGTAGGAATGGGTAGACTGCGTTCCAACGAACATAGTGGTTATATCGCTAATCCTAATAAATAGTGCGGCGTTTCAACTTTAGATGCAAGACTCCAATCGATCAACCGAGATCCTCCAGACAGAAATGAGGACTGACAGTTGGGCGAGAAAGCGGAGTGCCAACGTTCGCGCATTTGTCACCAACCGTGCTTCGGAAAGACCCTGCGAGCGTGTTACCAGGGCCCAGCCGAAAGGTGATAATTATTCGACAGCAGGCGTGTCGCCAAGGCCTGGCCGGATGCTGATGAAATCGCGCGTCAGACATCACGTGCGTTGCCAGGCGCCGGATAGGCGGACGAAGACTGCAGTGCCCGAGCAACACGGTGAACTGGACGGATGGAGCGGACAAGTAGGTGTGAAGCGCGGGCTTAGAGCCAAATCCGCCTGGTGACACCGACATATAAATATGAGCGTTCTCTACCCTAATGGAACTCTGGTCTGCTGAGTCTTTTGTCTTCCTTCCGGTCGGGTTTGCCAAGGCGTCAGACGGAGCACGCGTAAAGGCACAGATTTAGCAGCAGGCGTGAATCAACCAGTCGAGGGCGAGCAGGCCCACCGCGTTATAACAGGGCTGTATCCGGAAGTTACACCAGCAATGCGATGCATGCAGTGACTGGGCATGGAAGAGTAAACAGGCCAGCCAGTCCCAGCGATGACCAGTACTACTAGTGTCTCGGCTAGGTCACGTCACACAATGAAACTGCGAAAAGCATGCTTGATCTGAGTTCGTCAGCCGACTAGCTGGCAGAGTGTTCAACGTAATGGAAGCAGAGGACAGAGTCATGTAACGTCACCGCGACAATACATTTAAAAGGTCTCCAAAATGGGACAACGCAGACGTACTTTGCCGATCACCGGGATTTCAGAAGAGAACTTCCTGCAGAGCGACGTACTAACCCCTGAATCGCTGTTAAAGGCTTGGAACAATAAAATTTACTGACGCGGCCTACAGGGGAGCAACAGTAGGCCGGTACACTGTACCGACACTTCGTTGCCACGTGAGCATTACCAGTAGCGCGTGGCATCAGAATACCGTGAGGTCCCATGCGCCTACACGGATTCGAACCATTGATCTTCAGGATCACAACGCACGCAGGCAATCCTTTCGGCCACCGGCCCTACAAAAAGGAAGAGGCACAAGATGTTGCATTTAACTGAAACAAAGATGGTCTCCAAACAAATAAAGATGACCATGGAGGACAGTTAGTGTGTGGTGTAGATATGTGGCCAACAGAAGCACACATACAGTTTCCGCTAATGCTTCGGTGTTATAGCCGGAGCGTAGCCTAAAGGTAACGAGTTTGTCTTGTAATCTGACGGTGCGGGCCCGAGGGTGCTTTGGAGCAGGGCGACCTTCGGAGTATCCTTAGCCCGTGTGCAACCTGTGGAGGTTGCGCGGCAGCGAAGCATCAGTAATGCACACCGGCGTATTGCTGATGACTATTTTTACTCGGTGTCATATCTGATGATTCTCTTAATGAGGAACAAGAAAAGAGACATAATGTGAAAACAAGATGCCACACCGTGTACACACAGCCAATACCCAAAGGTTACTAACGGCTGGATATGTTAGTAAAAAAATGTGGAATCGTCGGCATGATTTTTTGCTGAGTTCAATGTCCTGAGTCTTAAATAAATGCAACCAGCAGATAACTCAGTATCAAACAAATTTTAAATGAGTAGTTAGGCTAGAAGACAATAGCAGCGCCGCTGCGAGCCATGATCCGTACATCCTGGAGAAAAACACAGGATAGGTCGTGTGGGTCTCAATACAGAAAGGGAGACGGATCAACAGAGCACAGGTTCAAAATACTTAAGAATACCGGTAACTATAGTAGGATGTTTACTTGTTGAAACATCCCTTAAGCCTGCCACTTTTATCACCAGCGATTTGTCGCCAATCGAACTGACATTATTAGTCCAATCCGCCGTCATCACCCATGACTTAGTTGCATAAGCTGCTGGAATCGAGAAGTCATGAAGTCGGAACAAGGCAAAGGTCCGAAAAACGCGCATCACTGAAGAGGGCCAGAATGTTGAAACAGCCGTCTGGTGCTTTTCCAAACGTTAGGGGTCCTGCCTGACTGAGGGGACTGTGACGAATCACATCTACAATTAGTATAGAATTGCCGGCAGATTCATTTAGAGTGCCGGTACTAGGCAGTTCAGGTAAAAGCAGCGTCCACTCTAAGTTACCTGCATTTAATCTAAAGGCGATATTTCGCGCTACATCGATTCTCACAGTCGGAGCAAAAACAGAAAAAGGCACTAGAAGTATGCCGGTACCTGCTAACGACGCCTCGCTGCCACGTGACTCCCGAGAGTTGCGTGTGGATTAGAGACGCTGAGATGTCGCACACATCAAAGGCTAGACAGTTGGACCACAGGTCGGCAGGAGGGCGGTGAATCAAATGATCAGATCCAACAAAAATAATGTTCGCTTTTCCAGTCCACAACATTCTCCGGTAACATCAGAAGAACGAAATTCAGCTCAATTGTCTCAAGCCATCCCTCATGACCCAACGAGTGTTGTCTGAACGTAGGAACCTACATTAATTCAATAGGAGGCAGATTCTGAGTGAAGAACTTTTACGGTAACTCACGTCAGGCTCAGACGTTACATGGTAAGGATGAGTTTCTAAATGTGCTGGATATGGCTGTGTATTGATTAGAAAGTTTAATTCTAATGGAAACGAATCGATAAATCACGGGGAGTGGGGGGGTGTGTGGGGTGGCTAGGGGCGGGCAGGGGGGGGTGGGGGGGGGGGGGGGGGGGGGGGGGGGGGTGGGGGGGGGGTGGGGGGGGGGGGGGGGGGGGGGGGGGGGGGGGGGGGGGGGGTGGGGGGGGGGGGGGGGGGTGGGGGGGGGGGGGGGGTGGGGGGGGGGGGGGGGGGGTGGGGGGGGGGGGGGGGGGGGGGGGGGGTGGGGGTGGGGGGGGGGGGGTGGGGGGGGGGGGGGGGGGGGGGGGGGGGGGGGGGGGGGGGGGGGGGGGGGCGGGGGGGGTGGGGGGGGGGGGGGGGGGGGGGGGGGGGGGGGTGGGGGGGGGGGGGGGGGGTGGGGGGGGTGGGGGGGGGGGGGGGGGGGGGGGGGGGGGGGGGGGGGGGGGGGGGGGTGGGGGGGGGGGGGGGGGGGGGTGGGGGGGGTGGGGGGGGGGGGGGGGGGGGGGGGGGGGGGGGGGGGGGGGGGGGGTGGGGGGGGGGTGGGTGGGGTGGGGGGGTGGGGGGGGGGGGGGGGGGTGGGGGGTGGGGTGGGGGGTGGGGGTGGGGGGGGGGGGTGGGTGGGGGTGGGGGGGGGTGGGGGGGTGGTGGGTGGGGGGTGGGGGGGGGGTGGGGGGGGTGGTGGGGGTGGGGGTGGGGGGGGGTGGGTGTGTTGGTGTATGGTG